AGGACCCCCAGGCGGCGCCTTCCGCCTTCGACCCGCAGCTCGCGCCCACGCCCTTCCGCCGCTCCAACAAGGTCATGCGGACGCCCGCTCCTGTCTCGGAAAAGGCGGCGGGCGGGGCGTCGCCGCCCCCGCCGGATTCAGGCTGCGAGGAGCCGGCGCCGCTTCCGATGATGGCGCTGGGCGACGACGAGTGTGGGCCGCCGAGCGGCCCCTCGCAAGGCCCGCCACCGTTCACGGAGGCGGCGGAGGGCGCAGCGGCGGAGGAGGAGTCGGCGTCGGCAGCCGGGGACGCAGGAGAGGCTCCGCCGCCGGTCGAGGTTGGCGAGGCGGAGGAGGCGGCCGCGCTGCGCCGCTCGATGGGCACGTCCCCCCTCTCTGCGGCGGCGGAGGAGGAGCGGCAGCGCCGCTCGATGGGCACCTCTCCCATCGCGCCGGGCTTGCTCGAGGCTGCGGCGGGAGGCGCGTCGTGCGGCGCAGACGAGGCGGCGCCGATGGAGACGGACGGCTGCTCGGACGCGGGCTCACCCGCTGCGTTCGACGACAACGAGTCTCTCGACGGGAGCGACGGCGGCGGCGACGAGACACAGGAGGCGAGGGGCACACTAGCCGCTCCCCACACCGCCCCCCGCTGCCGTCTCTGCCCGCCCGATCGGCCTCTCCCATCGCAGCGCGCCAGCCAGCAGCCTTGTGCCAGCAGCACACCGCGGCGCGACGCCCGCCCGCCTGCAGCCTGCGGCACCACCGGGCCCCCACCATCGACTGACCCGAGCCCCAACCCTAACGGCAGCCCGACGGCGGACCGACACTTGACGAGCTCGTGCGGCAAAACATCGAGGAAAAGTTCGAGCAGCCGCCGCAGCCAGCCGCGCCGAAGCCGCGGGCGGGTCGCAAGCGGAAGACGTCGCTCGACCGGATCGGCCGCCTCGAAGGTGCGGAGAGGGGAGCAGCTCCCTCCTGCCCACACACACACACACCGCTTCCACGCACAAACGCACAGACACGCACACCGGCGGGGCCTTTTCCATCGAACTCCCATCTCCCTCCCATCTCCCCCCCCTCGCCTCTGCTCGCCAGGCGAAGTCGCGGCGCGGACCGGCCTCGTCGTGGACCCAGCCTCGCAGGGCGCGCGCCGCTCGAAGCGCAACCGCATCCAGCCTCTCGAGTACTGGCGGAATGAGCGCGTCGAGTACGGCCGCCGCGACTCTGCTAAGTTTGAGTGCCCCGTGGCGGCGCGACGCTCCGGCTTTCCCCCGCCCTCTCCTCTTCCCGCGCAGCCCCGACGAGATTCCTCATCCCGCGCCGGAAGGCGGCGGGGTCGTCGCAGCGCTGCTCGCGCGCGTGGCGCAGCATCAGGTCGCCCGCGAGCTCGCCTAGCCGAGATGCAGCCGAGATGCAGCCGAGATGCAGCCGAGATGCAGCCGAGATGCAGCCGAGATATGCAGCCGACATGCAGCCGACATGCAGCCGAGATGCAGCCGAGATGCAGCGGAGACACACCCGCGCGCTCGTCTAGCAGAACGCGGAGTGGAGGGAGAGGGAGCGGGCCAAAGGCGCGGGAGGCGGGGCGAGGAAGGGGGGAGGGGGGGAGGGGGGGCGAGTCGCACCGTCGCCCTGCCCGATGGCCTTGAAGAGGCTGAGGAAGTTGCGCCGGTCCCGCTCGGTCAGCTCGACGACTGGGC